CATACAAAAGAAAAGGTTCTCTATTGATTCAAACATTATACCTATGGGATAGGGATAGAGGAAGAAGAAAAAATCAAAAGATTTCACATAATACTTTTGATCAAAAAATCAACCTGATTTATTTCGTATCCCTTGCTCAATGAGAAAATGAGCCAAAATCTACAGGATCAAACCTATGGGACTTAAGGAATGATATAAAAAAAAGAGAGGGAAAAATATTAAATAAAAAAAAAAGCAAATAAAAATGAAGTAGAAGAGCCAAGATTCCAAATGAACAAATTCAAACGTGAAAATGATCTTTCTGATTCTCGAAGAATGAGGGACAAAGGGATTGATCGAGAAAGCTATCTTGTTCTTATTATAAGATCGTGATTGGAGCCATAAAAAGGGAAATTTAGCCATAAACCCCTCTTAACTTTCTTTTCTTGTTAAAAGGACCAAAAAAAAGAATTAATACTTTCAAAACCCCCTTATAATTATAAAATTCTGTATAAAGGACAAAATTTGTTATTTGAATATTTTATTTAACCATTATACCCTCTCTTTCTTTCATTTCTTTTACAGCACTCTCTCTCTCTCTCTCTCTCTCTCTCTCTCTCTCTCTCTTTTTCTACCAGCTTGATGGTTGTTCATCGTCTCCACCATCTTTATCGTCTACCAGTGTCGCTCATCCTCACCGTCGGCTGACAACCACCATTTTTACCGTTAAACCACCACCATTTCAAATTTGATACCTACAAACTCATATTTAAGATTAGTAACTTCATATCAGAGATAAAAAGAACTTAGATTTGACAGAAAAAATGAGAAATCGAGATATTGCAATGAAAATTAAGAGTTTTTTATTTGTTTGTTCATGGATCTAAAAGTAAAATTTGACTCTGGTTTATTCATTTAATATGTACTCTGTTTTTATAACAGTAAAATTTTACTCTAGAACCATCAAAACCAAAGAGAGAGAGAAAGAGAGAGAATGAAGAATCTCAGATTTGAGGTTTGCGAACCATCGCAAATCGTCATTTTCCGGTGACGACAATTGTGAATGATCTCAGATTTGAAGTTATGGATGCGACAAATGATGGTGGTGATGAAGATGTTAGAGAAAAAGTTCCATGGTAAGTGGCAGTTGTGCTGATGGAAAGCAGCGATGGCACCGATGAAAAGAATAATGATAAGTGCGAGATAGAGAGGAGAGATTGAGATGAGAAAGAGTGATTACAAGTTGATACACACACACACGCGCGTATATATAAGGGTATTATAGTAAAAGAAATAAGTTTTAAAATATTAGGGGGTTTTGAAATGATCTATATAATTCTTGTTCTTTTGAAGGACAAGTTAGACACTGAGAGGTCTATCACCAAATTCCCCATAAAAAAAAGCAAGCAAAAAACCATATAGTTTTAAAAATTTCTAAATTTATGTTTAATATAATAGTATCGATTAAAAATGAAATAAAAACACGTACCATATTATATTCACAAATAAAATTTGATAACCTATATTTTAACAAAAAATTCAAATAAATGGAAAGAATAAAAAATACTTATAAAAAGTAGAAAAATAAGAAAAAATAGAAAAACTAAAAGAGTAATGCTAGAGATCCCAAAAATTCTACAAATGTCTCATATGGGTGTGGGACCCATACAATTTTTGGGGCCTCTAGCATTTTTGAAACTAAAATATCACTAAATTAAATAATGATAAAACAGTGATTTTCTTTTTTTTTTTTGGTTGTAAAATTATCAAAACACCCTTTACGTCTCACTATCTTTCCTTCTTTTTTTCTTGCTACAAACCTTAATCTTCTCCCACCATTCTCCACTTTTACTATCCTTCATGATCAATCCATCTATAGTCCGTTTCCCAACCTATACGCCTTGCATGTTGCTAAGGCTGCAAACGAACCGAACCGAACCGAGCCAAGCTTTGTTGAGCTTGAACTCGGATCGTTTACTTATCGAGCTCGTTTATTGAGCTCGAGCTTGACTTGATAAGGAACTGAGCTTGAGTTCGGCTCGGCTCAACTCAGCTCAGCTCGATAATTTTTTTTAATATTATTTAAATAAAAATATTTAACAAAAAAATATTATTTAATATATAAATAATATATTTATTATATGATCTAAATAAAGATAAACGAGCCAAGCTTGACGAGCTGAGCTTAAACTTGGCTCGTTTACTAAACGAGGCTAATATTTGATTTCGAGCTCGGCTCATTTACTAAACGAACCGAGCCGAACTCTTAATGAGCCAAGACGAATTTGTTCATGAACAACTCAGTTTATTTCCAGCCCTACATGTCGCCACCATAAACCTAGATTGCGATCAAAGGAGAAATAGAGATATTGCAAAAAGTGAAATCTTCTATGGTTCCAAAAGGGGCTAGGATTACAATGGGAGGAGTAGAGAGAGGGCTACACAAAAGGCTTTGAGAGAGAGCTAGAGAGTCTATGTGCCGTGGTGGTCTAGGTAATTGATGGGGTGCTGTTGTAATCTGGAGGAGATCAAGAGAGAACTAGGTTAGCATTAGCGATGGCAATGAGAAAGGTCAAAATCAATGGTGACGAGAAAAGACTAGAGAGGTCAAGAGTTAGGTTGGCAGTGGTTGGAAAAAGTAAAAAGAGGTGGCTGTGGTAGTGGATAAAAAGGGAGGAAAAGAGAGAATAAAAGGAAGAAAGAAAAGTGAGATGTGTAAAATTATAGTTTTATTACTATTTGTAATTATTTTTCATTTTTTCAGATATGCGATTATTATTTTTTGCTCTCAATCTTTTTTTAATTTAGGGTTGGTTTGAGATGTTCTAAAAAAGTATACTTTTTGACTTATTGGCTTATATGGGTTGGGTTTGATGTGATGTGTTAGAGAGGTGATATGATTTAAATAAGATGATGTGACTTAAATAGGATAGTGACTTTTTGACTTCTTTAGTTGATGCCAAACCAACCTTTATTTAAATCGGTGATACTACATGTATCAATTAGTGTACACACTAATGTATTAACTAGTGTTATGATATTATTAATGACTTTACTTATTATATAAATTACAAATACTTAAATTCTCTAAAATTATGTCACATCATCTATTAGTACGCTAGTGTCTATACTAATATAGCATTATTCTATTTAAATTCTTTCCTTTTTTTTTTAATAAATAATTTTTCCTATTTTATTTAATAATTAAAAAAATAAAAAGGTCTGCTTACACACAAAAGGCTTTGAGAGAGAGCTAGAGAGTCTATGTGCCGTGGCGGTCTAGGTAATTGATGGGGTGCTGTTGTAATCTAGAGGAGATCAAGAGAGAACTAGGTTAGCATTAGCGATGGCAATGAGAAAGGTCAAAATCAATGGTGACGAGAAAAGACTAGAGAGGTCAAGAGTTAGGTTGGTAGTGGTTGGAAAAAGTAAAAAGAGGTGGCTGTGGTAGTGGATAAAAAGGGAGGAAAAGAGAGAATAAAAGGAAGAAAGAAAAGTGAGATGTGTAAAATTATAGTTTTATTATTATTTGTAATTATTTTTCATTTTTTCAGATATGCAATTATTATTTTTTGCTCTCAATCTTTTTTTAATTTAGGGTTGGTTTGAGATGTTCTAAAAAAGTATACTTTTTGACTTATTGGCTTATATGGGTTGGGTTTGATGTGATGTGTTAGAGAGGTGATGTGATTTAAATAAGATGATGTGACTTAAATATGATAGTGACTTTTTGACTTTTTTAGTTGATGCCAAACCAACCTTTATTTAAATCGGTGATACTACATGTATCAATTAGTGTACACACTAATGTATTAACTAGTGTTATGATATTATTAATGACTTTATTTATTATATAAATTACAAATACTTAAATTCTCTAAAATTATGTCACATCATCTATTAGTACGCTAGTGTCTATACTAGTATAGCATTATTCTATTTAAATTCTTTCCTTTTTTTTTTAATAAATAATTTTTCCTATTTCATTTAATAATTAAAAAAATAAAAAGGTCTGCTTATATTTCCAAGGTGCCACGTGACCAATAACATTTTGGGTCAAAATTCTTTCTAATTTGAGATCGGACTAAAGCTTATTATTGGGTTTATAAGGGCTTACTAAAGATCTTATTTTGATAATTTAAACTATCAATATGTAGAGCTCATCGATTATTTTATTTCTGTAAAAAAATTACCTTGATCAAATATCGATAGATATTTGATCGGAACATATTTTTGTCAATGATAAATATAATTTTTAAAATAAATTATTGATAAAAATATTTTCTAATCAAATAATTATCGATATCTAATAAACATGATTTTTTTAAAAAATAAAATATTTAATAAAATTTATATATTAAACAATTCGAATTATAAAACAAAATCTGTCTTATTTCTCATAAACCTACCAATACCATCCAATTTATAAAATAAACGAAAGACAAGCTTCATCCTAACCTTTTAACCCAAAATCGCTTTCCGGTCCAATCCCCAACTACGGGTTGGTTTGGGATGTTCTAAAAAAATGTACTTTTTGACTTATTGGTTTATATGGGTTGGGTTTGGGTTGTGTTTGATGTGATGTGTTAGAGAGGTGATGTGATTTAAATAAGATGATGTGACTTAAAGAGAAAAAGAGAGAGAGAGAGACAGAGAATAAAGAAAGAGAAACCTGAAGCTTGATTCCTGACCCACAATCTCTCTCTTCGACTCTTCTTTCCCGCCCACTGCGTCCTCTTCGTTTGCACGCACACAGATATATATAATATCCGTAGATTCATATATATCATCAACCACAACGTCATTAACATCAGGCAAAATATCTCTCTCTATACTCTCTCTCTCTCTCTCTCTCTCTTTCTTTTTTCTCTGTTGTGTTCTACTCTCTCTCTCTCTCTACTTGTTCCTAAATTGTCAGTGAAGTGCTATGTTTTTTTGTTTTTTTGGTGATTTGTCAGAGCTGAGAAATTTCTATAGTTTCATTGCTTGGACTCTTTTTTTTTTTTTTTTTTTTTTTTTCCGCATTTTTTTGTTAAACCCTAGTGTTCTGTTTGGTTTCCGAGAAAGCTGTGGGAAAAAAAGAAAAGTAAAAGAAATTGAAGTTGTTCTGTCGTTGTCGTTTAGTTTTTCGGGAAATGGAATTTACTATTTAATATTCAACTCTTTCGAATTTTCAAAATTTTTGTGAGACTAAGCAAAGAGAAATGTTCAATTTTCTTCGTTTTTTTTTTTGTGTGTTCCCCTTCCGATTCTCACTGACGTAACGGATCACACAAGTATTATTCAATTTTACGCTTAAGAAAAATTATTCAACTCTTTTGAAGTTCATGTGTGATTGATTATAGATACTTGAATTGCCACGGTTGTTCTTGGTTAGGAGTGCAAATATGTGACTGATTTTGCATTTGCGGAGTCTATTGCGATTAGATTAGATTTGCTTTCTATTTCGAAAAGATAGCTCATTGAAAATGGTATTGGAAATATACTGCAAGTCTATATTAAACCATTTTCTTTTCTTTCCTATTTCCAGCAAAATGCTTTTCTAAACTTCCTTTTTTATTATTTAATTTTATTTTCTTTCTATTTTTCATGATTCATTAGGTTATATATTATATTAAGAGCCCTTTTTTTGGGCTTGAACTGGTGCAAATTCTTCTGGTATTCTTCCCAAAGTGGCTGCCACGCCTCCTTCTCTCTCTGTTTATAATATTAAAAAAGAAAAAAAGAAAAGGCATAATGAAAAAAGAATGAGTTTAGTGATTACTAATGGGATTTTTGTCTTGGCACAAACAACATTAGGACAAAGCTGAAATCTTTATTATTTTTGGATGGATTTATTCTCTCCCTTTGCTTTCTTCTACGTACGTCTTTTTGCCATGTGTAAGCTATTGATTTTGCCTTATTATAATATGCATTTTTGTGGCTAGAGACTGGAGCTGGAAAAGAAAAGGATAATATATGGAGGGCGGCGCAGGAAGAGGTTTGGAATGCCAGAAGATTATGGATGGGAAGGTGAATGAGAATGGGAATGTTTTGGATAAGACTATTATCCCTTCCTGTTGCTTGAAATCCAGGGCTTCAGACACTGAGCTTGACGCTAAATGCCATGCCACAGTTGTTTCTGGATGGTTCTCGGAACCTGGGTCCCGCTCTGGTCATTATTTCTAACTCTTTGGCTCTGTTTTTGCCATTATACAATTTTTGAAAGTCTTTATTTTTTATCCTTGTTCTGTTGTTTGGTTTGGTGACTGGTTGGACAAGGGTGGTGTTTGTTGAATCTTCTTTGTGTTGTTCTTTATAGATAAAGCTGGCAAGCGACTGTATTTCAACAATCCAATGTGGCCAGGTAGTTGTTATTTTTGTTGCATTTTCCGTTTCAAATGAGATGATTTATTTTGAGTTTGGAACATAATAGATCGTATAAAACACTCTATGCTCCTCCTTTTCAATAAGAAAGTTTTTGCTCATGCAAGTTTTAGAACCTTAAAAAAACCAATCTATTCCATTTGAGATTAAATCTATATCGCATTTAACTTTCAAGATCTTTTCTTATTGGTCAAATAACTTGTGATTTCCATTTTTTCAGTACATCTAATGTTGCTAACTCCTGCCACTTTTTAAGAATATATCAATATATCCTAAGGGTAAGAATACCACTTGGAAGTGCATTATTGATTAGATATCAAGTGTGTTTGAAAACCACCTTTGCTCAGAAGTCATACCATTAGGCCACATTTGGAAGCGGGACCATCTAGGCGGAATAACTTAATCCAGTCCAATATTGTATTGGTGTTCCCTCTGCACAGGATTGAATCAGATTGAACTAAATGTCTGGCATATGTATATAAAACAATAGCATTTGGGTCGAGGCAATGGTATTACAGGAAAATAATTAATATGAGCATGGAAATTCAATTTTACCCTCAACACATAGTTTTTTCATTCTCTTCCACAAAGCCATGATCAAAGCATATTTTAGAATAATTAGTTTTATTCCCAAGTTTTAAAGTGCAAACCAAACACTGGATTAAGTTAATGTTGTCCAATCATTAGTCGAATCCTGTCCAATCTTCATCCAAACAAGGGATTAGAATTAGTTATTCTAGCATTACATGTCCTGATCCTATTAATCCAATTCTGCTGGATCCTATCCCGCATCCAAATGCGACCTTAAGGACTTGGTGGTATGCTCCCTTTAAATGGAAGAATTTGGAAATAGTCTCTGCTTTTCCCTCAACTTTAAGATTCGATGGCTATGGCTCAGTCAGTTTGTGTTATTAGGAGAAGCACATTCACTGGAAGTTAAAAACATTTTGTACAAGGAAAAGTCAGAGTACCAAGAGATCCTGGTTTTTGAGGTACAGCATTTTAATACCCAATTAGTTGACTGTCAGTTTCTGTTTTTCTGTCACTTATTGTCTCATTTATGATTTTGCTGATGTTGATTTTTTTCATCTACAGTGCTCAACGTATGGGAAAGTGCTTGTGCTTGATGGTATTGTTCAGTTGACTGAGAAAGATGAATGTGCCTATCAGGAGATGATAACTCATCTTCCCCTTTGTTCAATTCAATCCCCCAAAACTGTAATTTTCTGAAAATCATGGCTTTTGTAGATTTTGATAAGTTTATTGTTTTTTATTATTTTATTAAAAAATTATTTTAAATTAGATGTAGCCATAACTGGGTTATTGAAATTATACAAGGTAGTTGAACTGTAGTGAAACATGTGTACTTGAGGTACTTTTGAACTTGTCCAACTAAACATGACTCTTACAGTTAAAAAATGTCCCTCTTTAGTTGGAGGTTTGAGGATTGCTGCATAAGCATGATAAATTTTTTTTGGAATTCCTTGGGGATTTTCTGGGCAGCTAAAGGGCCAAAATCTGAAAGTGGTAGGTTTCACTGCAAAATCCTCTCACCATCTTACTTCTCTGTTAAATGTTTTTGTTGAGTGTTCATTTATCAATTATTTTAATATAAAAATCAGAATATAAGGATTTTTTTATTAAAAAAAAAAAAAATCCCCTGGAGCAGCAAAGGCATGTCCTTTCCTTGTTAATGTGTTACACGCACTTCCAAGGGAACTTTAGGACTAAATAGTATTTGACTGATCTACAAAATTAACTTGATCCCAATATCTTCAAGGCATTGTTTGACAAATTTTATTTATGATTAGATATAGCCTCACCTTCAACTTTGCCGGGAGAAGTATGTAAATATCTTTTCTATGTTGGTTGAATTTGTATTTACTTTCAGCCTCATTTCACATTTACAATATGTAGCGTGAGAACTTGTAATTTATGTTGCCTATGATTGGGAAAGACATTGTTGATAGAGCTGGCTGGTCTTTTGCATTTTCGTGATTTTCCTAGGTATTGTTTCTTCTTTTTGTCAATGGTTAAGACTTGACCTAATAACTTTGAGGTTATGGATTCAAGTTTGGGACCACTACTTTGTATATTATACCAAAGGTTAGGTGTGCACTCAATCTTTTTCCTCCCAAACACACATTAATGTGTACTAATTGGGCGTTGTTTTTTGCCTGATGCAGGTTCTGGTTGTAGGTGGGGGTGATGGTGGAGTTCTTAGGGAAATTTCTCGCCACAGTTCTGTGGAGCTCATTGATATTTGTGAGATTGATAAGATGGTTATAGATGTAAGCAAGGAAATGTTGCACCCATTCATGTGTTAGCTGTTCCCTTTTGTTCTCTGTTATTTAACCAGTACTCTCATGTGTTTTCTTACATTATAGGTTAGCAACAAGTTTTTCCCAGAGTTATCTATTGGCTTTGAGGATCCTCGTGTGCAACTCCATATTGGTGATGGTATGTGGCTATAGATATTCTAATTGTCTATGGCATGCTGTTAGGTAAAACATGTGCATATTGTAGTCTAGATGCACTATTTTGTATACATCAGTAAATGTGGGTTATTGATAATTATATGTAAACAAAGCCACTATGTGAGCAGCTATCTTTGACTACCTGCTACACTTTCTTGCTGATCTTTGTTTCATGATAATGACAGCTGTTGAATTTTTACGTCATGCACCTGAAGGAAAGTATGATGCAATTATTGTTGATTCATCAGACCCTGTGGGTATGTTTTTAATTCACCATTTCTATCTGTTTTCCCTTTCTCTTTTTCCTATTTATTTCTTTTTTCTTTTGGGTTTTTTATTTTTAATTCACCATTTCTATCTGTTTTTACTTTGGTTTTTAATTTACTATTTCATGTGAAGCTTGTCTTTATGTTGTACATTGCCTTCAGTTAACTCATACTGTGGGAAATCTACTCTGGTTTATGATTTAGGTGGATGAAAATCTAGTTGTGTACCTTTCTGGAGGCTAGGCAAGGGCTCTTTATCTTTTAATACATTCTTTTATGCAATTAATAAAGTATACTGTTGATCGAAAAATTTATTGGTGCCTTGAAATGGTCACTTGGTGAATTTTTTATATTGAAGTGTTAGCCTTTTTTATTTTCATATTTTTCAAGCCTAATCAGAACTTAACAAATATTTCAATGATTTCAAACGATGCAGAAAATCGATGGACTAGCTATAAAAGAGGATGTTTAAAAGAGGGACAACCATAAATGTTGCACCCATTCATGTGTTAGCTACAAATTGATGGACTGTCTACAAATATTTCATATTTTTAAGTCTTAGCATCTCCAACAGGCTTTCTAAAAGAGGCCTGTTGGCTATTGTAACTAGTCACATCCTATTTTTCTTCCTCCAACAGGCTAGCTACTATAATGGCTATTTTAATAAAACTCTTCTAGGTTTGCTATATTTGGAGAGCCTGGAAAAATGGTTAGGTAAAATAAAGGCTTATTTTGGGAAGATGGTAAAAATTGACTTTTTGACTTTTAGCTTTGTTAGACAAATGATTTGGGAAGTTGGTAAAAAGTTACTTTTGACTTTTTTGATTAATATTTGTTTATGATATCAAATCATAATAAAATGACCAAACTACCCCCATTTATTTAAAATATTTACAACTTTATCCATGTAACACATTTTGACTTATGAGGGATAAAATTGTAATTTCACCATTGGCTAAAAACTAACTTCCCAAATGAAAAAAAAGACAAAAAAGCCAACTTTTAACTTTTGCTACTAACCTAAAAAAGTGACTAAAAGCCATATTGCCAAAACACCCCAAAGTGTACCTTTCTTGTTCTTTAGTTAGTGAAAAATGAAGAGTAAGAGTTGCTCTTAGGCTCTGTTTGTTTCGCCGTAAAATATTTTTCATGTGAAATGATTTTATCCAAAAACAAATTTTTTGGGGGGAAATTTACCCATAAATCCCATTCCAAAAAGGTATGTACCGGAAAGCCCATAAATTTTTTTGGGGAAAATTACCCATAAGTCATTGTGAGGCCCTTTCACTATATTTCCTGGAAATTTCAAATGTGGGTATGCTTCATTTGTGCACTATTGTCTTATTAAATTTTTGCCAAACGTGTCATTCTTAAAATGTGACAATGTGACATCATTCTAATGTGTGCACTTGTTTTATTAACTTTTGTCAAATGTGTTAAAATGCGACAATGGACATTTGTGTCTATTGTCTTAATTAACTTTTGCCAAATGTGTCATTCTTCTTAAAATGGGGTAATGAGACATCATTCTAATGTGTGCACTATTGTCTTATTACGTTTCCAATTGTGGATATGGTTCATTTGGGAGATTTTAATGTGAGATAGTACTTATAGGTTCATAAGAATATGATGAACTAAATGGTTCATAAGTCACGAATATAGGATTTATTAGTAAATTCTCCTTTCTTTTTTTCCGGTGTTTGGTTAGCACTTAAAATATTTTCTACAACAAAAATGTTAATAAAGAATCAATTATAGAGTAAATTTTAAAAATGAAAATAACAACGGAAAATGATATTCATACATAGTTTTCATGTAAAAATTGAACACAGGTGATGTGGCACTGTCACTCTTACACAATTCTTAACTATAGTAACAAGAATTTTAACTTTTAATGGGTGGATAGAAATGTGACATGTCATTATATATGTAACTTTTTGTATGCAAATTCTGTTTGTATGTCATTTCTAAAGAATGAAATAAGACCATTATTGAATATAACAAAAATAACAATTTCAAAATTGAATTCCGATCAATTGCTCAAATCATAATGTATGTATAGGTATATATATATGTGTGTAGAGAGAGAACAAAGACTTTCAATGTGTATGAAAGTAGTGAAATTTGATATGTATTTTGATTATATCAACAGTGATGAGAAAAAAAATTACTTAACAGAATTTTTAAACGTAAATCATTTCACTTTATGATATAAAAGATTTTACTTAAAAAATGATTTACTTATTTTTTGGCCAACCAAACAACGGAAAATAGGTAAAATTTTTTGAGGAAATATTTTACGTCGAAACAAATGGAGCCTATTTTTTTTGGCTCTTGAAATATAGGCACTTCAACCAAAAGCTCAGTTGGCCAGTGCACTTCTATCTGGAAGGTCAGGGGTCAATCCTAATTTCTCCCGTATTATGGGATTTATTGTGTTTCTGTCCCATTATGGGCTTTTTCGTAGGCTGGGTTCTTCCCATTATTGGGGCTGGTTGTTGGGATATATATTTGTTGGACTATAATTGTTTGGTTGTAATTATCTATATTGTAAATACTCCTACTGATTGACAAAAATAATATTTATTTATATTTATATATATATGCACACTTATGCACAATATTGGAATTACCCTTAATTTTTCTTTTCTTTTTTCCGTTATGGTACTTGGAATTTAGACACATGAATGCATATCAGTATATGTTACTCGTTTCAATCTTAATGCCACGACTTTTGGGTCCTATTTTAAACTTCTATTCTCGCTTGAAATGGGTATATATCCTAAAATAAGTAATGAAGTAAGAAGATGTTTACTCATTGGGATTCTTTTCTTGATTTAGGACCTGCCCAAGAACTTGTGGAAAGGTCATTTTTTGAGATGATAGCGAGAGCGTTGAGGCCTGGTGGTGTTCTATGCAACATGGCCGAAAGTATGTGGCTTCACACACATCTTATTCATGACATGATCTCTATTTGCCGTGAAACATTCAAGGGTTCTGTTCACTACGCTTGGACAAGTGTTCCCACATATCCAAGGTATGCATTCATCACCTTAATTTCCTATGATGCAAACATTTCTGTGGGTTTTTCATCTCTCTTATAGTTTGATTCTATGGAGCATCTAGCTTGCTGCATCTTAACATAAATAACAACTAACTATTACAGTGTCTCATTTTTTGCCACAGTTTAGTATCCTGCTCAATCAGGTGACATGATTTCATTCTTATTTGACAATGATTTCTATATTGTGTATACAGTGGTGTGATTGGATTTTTGATATGCTCAACGGAGGGACCACCTGTGGATTTTATTCATCCTATCAATCCTATTGAAAATATAGAGGGAGCACTCAAGCATCAAAGAGAACTAAGGTTTTACAGCTCTGAGGTAATCACATTCCCTCACGTTTTTTGCTTACTAGTGATACACTTTTTATTGCTAGGCTTACCTGATAGCTTGCTCAACTCAAAGTCTTTTACGCTTTTCTTAAATAAAAAAGGGGGGAAAAAATTAAAGCTTCTTAAACCACTTTGATCTTGGAACCCTCAGCATTTAAATTTTATTAATAGAAATATTGCCTCAGTTTCATAAAATTATTACAGCGTTGACCTTCTTTGGATTGACTTCAAAATAATTATAAATAATTTTTGTTGCACCAGATTTTTTTCCATTTTTTTCAATTTGTTTTGGGGTAATGTTTGTTTTTGTTAATGGTTTCTCTTGTTAACTGATCAATTCGTTATTTAATCTTCGGTTGTTTTGGACCAAAATTGGCATTGTGTTACTCCTGCAAACAATTTGAACCTGTTGTGTACATAAATCACTAAGCTGCCCTTGGGTCTCTCTGCCTCTTTGGGGGAAGCTTCTAAACATGATATACTGTTTTGTCGGAAGCGAATATGAAAATGATATTAGTATCAGCCTAATTAGATTTGGCTTAGTCAAATGAAGAACACCTTCCCTTGGCCAGTTGGCCTCATTGTTTAATTTTTGTTGGTTTGGTACTCCCAAGAAGATGGTCATGGCTTTTGTCAGGTCAAACCCCATAACTGCGGCAAGTTTGCATTTGTTCATGTAGTAGAACACAGTTGAATTTATGTACTCTCAATAATTTTTTTGCTTTTTACTCGACAGATGCACGCAGCTGCCTTTGCCTTACCATCATTTCTCAAGAGGGAGGTTCCTCTTCTTCGTGATTCTCCAACCCCGGCTAAATGAATTTGTGCTACTTAGTAAATATTTAGCAGCCCTTATTTATTGCTCTGATAAATGTAGACTCACCTACGATGGAATTTATGTGTAGCAAGCATAGATGCAACACTTTATTATGAACACTAGAAAAATCATATTGCTATGAAACCTTTATTATTAACACTAGAAAAATCATATTGCTATGAAACCAATTATCTAATAACTGTCTCATTGTATTCAGTGGATTGAGGGTGTTATTGGTGATTTGGTCCAAGTAAACTACTGCTGGTAGATGATGGTTTTGAACTCTTTATATTTTTACTGCATTGCTGTAGTTATTGCTAACTTGGATTAAATTATTGCGCGGGTGGATTGTGCAAGTCACTTTTAAGTATATCATTTCACAGTAGTTCTGTAATGCTGGGTGTGTTACTCTACATGGAATTGTTGTTTGATCGTTCAGATGGTGATTAAACGTTTTTGCTGAATTAACATAAGGAGGTCGCATAGAATGTACTATATATATCGGTTAATTACTCACAAGCCCTGTGATGAGGACTTGTGCATCATTAAATCTCAGTGTTTGTAAAGATCAAAAAGTCTTTTTGCATGTAAAAACTCATTCCTTCTTCTCTTTCTCTTTTTGATATGAAAACTAACTAGCAACAATTGACCACCATCAATTGGTGTTTAGCAACCATCAATAGTTTGTCGTAGCCGCTCCTCTGCCTCATCAACTTCGCCCTCACTTTCTTTACCGTCATCAAACCCTTCTTTGTGTCCTCTTACACTTACCTCGTCTTTCTCTGTTTTCCATTGTTGATTGGAGCTTCATCATCATCGTTGTCTGTCAAATTTAGACCAGATCTGATTAGATCGACATCAGATTCCGTCAAATCTAAACAAAAATGGTCACTGAAGTACAATCATCTCTCTAATGTCTGTCTTCGTCTTTCAATCTCACTTTTTCTTCTTTTTCTCCACCAAACATTTTTATTTTCCTATTGTAATGAAAATTTTCACTTATGAATAAATATTTTTATGTAAATTACACTGATCTTTCCTGAGATTTATCTTAATTGCAAAGACCTCTCTTATAGTTTCAAAAATAACACGACCTTCCCCTCTTCAAGTTAAAAGGGCTTTAACGACGTTAACTTGACAATGGAATTATATATATAGAGCGAGTATATATACATATCTTATATATATATATATGTATATATATATCATTGTACCTATTCTATCTCTTTTCCCTCTCATTCTTTGTGTGCTTTGCCCCCCCTCTCTCTCTCTCTCTCCTGCGATCATTGCTGCATTTGTCTCTTTGCCTCTCTATCTCTCTCTCTCTCTGCATGCGTAGGTTAGCGATTTGGGTTGAGAGTGGACCGACAAGCTAAAGGTGAGAGATGCTGTAATAACCCCGACCTCTGATTAATGTTTATCCGCACTTAATTATGCCTAATAGTAATTTAGAAGGAATCTGGGATTAATTTGCATATGTATTGCATTAATTCTGTGTTTCTATCTATTTGCTAATAAGTGATCTGTTTATGTGTTGACTTTGAACTGCGATTTGAAAGCCTTATCGGCAACTGATTCAGAAATTGGTTAGTGTGTTATACTAGTTAGATTTTATGTGATTTTATGGTAGGCTTAATTAAAATTTGATTTGATATGATTAAATTAGATTATATAATGTTAAATTACATTAATTCAAGTTAATTACCTAAATGCCACTTAGTGGCTTGATTGAGACCAACCTATTACACTTAGAAGCATCTCTCTTCAGCCATTTTTTCTTGATCAAACCGTAGGAGAGAGAGGGAGTAGAAGAGTTGAAGGCAACTTGGAAGATTAGGCTACTAAGCTTGAAATTGAAGACCTAAAGGTAGAGAATTCATCTTTTTAATTATGAATGTGAGTTGTTCTTGTTAGGTTCATGGTGAAATTGGTATTTAAAGTCAAGATTTAGCTCAAAGTGTGGTTTTGAGAGTCCATCCATGCATGCATGCATAAATTTCCATGCTTTGAGTTTGAATTCTAAGATTTCTTCCATGTATGTGTTATTTTCACTTACATTTTGGTCATTCATCTTGTTGTCCATCAAATTATCAAGTTTGATCATGTTTTGGAGGGTTTGGATTCAATGAGATTCTTGCATGTTGTATTAATGGCATGTTCTAAGAGTCCATGTTGATTTTGCACAAATTGGGTTGCTCTTGGGCCATGATTTCTTGAAATGATTTTTAATACATGTTGTATGAGGTATTTTATGTTTTCTCAAATATTAGCCCAGAAAAACGAGTTTTGAAGGCTTAAAGGTTGAGTTTCATGCTTGGAGGTCAATCTGGATTTTTCAGAAATTTGACCCACGCTCAAGCGGGTACTTTCACGCTCGAGCGTGAATCCTGAGTACATGCACTTCCGCTCGAGCGTCTATAGTTACGCTCGAGCGTGAAATGCGTATACCCAGAAGTTTGTGTGTTTTGCAGTCTGCTCGAGCGGGGGAATCCACGCTCGAGCGAGACTTTGAGTCTCACACTCGAACGGGGGTCGAGCGCCCGTCGAGCGTGAAAATCTTGCATCCAGTACTTTTGTCAATTTTACAGTCTACTCGAGCGAGGAAGGTCACGCTCGAGCGGAGCTTCAACATCTGCATGTCCGCTCGAGCGGGGTAATCCACGCTCGAGCGTGGACCTTATCTTTAGCAAAATTTAGGAAATGATTTTCAAGGAATGTTTGCATCCTCATTTCATCCTAGGCATTCCTAGGCCATGTTTAAGGCTCTTTAATGAGGATTAAATGTTAGAAACACACTAAGAACCAACGACATAAGTTTTGTGCAATTAGAATGTGTGTTTCAAGTGTGTGTCCATTATGTGTTATGTAGGTCACGTCCCGCGTATCGTGTGATCAATCTGCTCCGTCTGTCTGTTTCAAGACCAACTGTGAGTAATAACTTCGTAAAGTTATGTTCAAACTGTATCTACTTTCTGTGTGATAAAACAAGATCTGTTTTTCGAAATGATATGTTCTGTACAATAAATGATTGTTCAATTTCTGATATGTATTCGTGACATCCTTAGCATCATGTGATATCTCCCCTTATTATGTGTGTCCGTTATGTGTTATGTAGGTCACGTGCCGCGTATCGTGTGATCAATCTGCTCCGTCTGTCTGTTTCAAGATCAACTGTGAGTAATAACTTAGTAAAGTTATGTTCAAACTGTATCTACTTTCTGTGTGATAAAACAAGATCTGTTTTTCGAAATGATATGTTCTATACAATAAATGATTGTTCAATTTCTGATATGTATTCGTGACATCCTTAGCATCATGTGATATTTGTTAGCTGTTACCCGGTATTGGAGGTTCCTTTATGGAGCTTATTTCTGTCTGCACTCTGTTACCCGTACCGAAGGCCCTGTCACGGGGGCTCAGCTTCTGTTCTGTTGCCCGAATCCGAAGGTTCCTTTATGGAACTGGTTATTCGTAACCTCACGTGTATACATTCTGTTCTGTTCTGTTAATGCTAATGGATGTATCACGTAAACTGAATCATGACTTATGATTTCTAAATCTGTACGAACTCATTCATTGAAACCCTTTACTCTATTATTATTCACTGGGCTTTCGCTCACAGTTTATATTATGTATGTAGGTGAGCCGGCACATGACCAGGGCCAGAGTTGACGACCTTCTATTCTGTTTTTGTCAACAAACTGTTGTGCCTCCCGAGGAGGTTCCGAACGAAGCCTAATGCCATGGCTATTTTTGTATACATGCTAGTCTTTGTGTATGCTCTGTAAAATCAGGTCTTGGGAAGTACATTATGTAAATACCTTGTAAATATTGTGTATCTGAACTGGCATGTTTATGTATATATAAATAAGTTTTGAATTGTTTTGTCCCATGTACGTTATCACAGCTCATTGGACCTTGTCTATTTTGTATTATTGCTTCTACAGCCCCTTATTATTTGTTAATCTGTTCAGAGGCCTTTGCTAATTCACGGATTACTGGCCGGTTACGATGCTAAACCTACAGGGGCGGGTTTGGGTCGTGACAGATGCGGAGCTCGCTGAATCAACTGTTGTAACAAGCGACACCGCACCAGTTACTGAGAGTTGAGAGCGTGGAGGAGTCCTATCTATTGAGGGAGCCGAGAAGGTCGTAGAGGTTGAGCTTGAAGAAAGTCAGGGCTTAGATCTCGGCTAGGGTTTCGGGGCTGGGCTTGAAGGAAGTCAGGGCTTTAATCTCTGTCTCTCTCTATCTCTCTCACTCACACTTTCTCTCTCTAACTATTTATGTTTCCTCTTCCCTAGAAGCCTCTGAAAGAAGACTTTTTTTTTTTTTTTTTGCAAAGAGGAGGCATGAAAGAGGAGGTTGGGTACGGGTTGGCACTTTTTAACCTCATATGGGTTTGAATCATTAAGGTACTAATGCGACGGAGGAACTGAGCCAGAGCAGTCATCGAGAGCCGGAGTTGGGTTTGTAGGGTCCTGATTGGAGAAGTCAATGATGACATAGATCTGGCCACCTTTGCCACCGTAGGCTGCTTGGCCGAATCCAATGGCACAATCGGCGAGTCGTTGGCAGTTGTTGGCCTAGTTTGGGTCGCACCGCCAGCAATCGTCGATTGGGTTTCCAGTAAGACACAAGAGCTGGTCTTTGGAGCCGCCATTGTTGGTATTGATGGTGGTGGTGGATAGCATTTGTCTTCTGGATATTGATACATTGAGTCTCCTGTTTAGAAAAATGTAGAGTGAGCCTAGATTAGAAAATGGTACAATGAGCAAAACCCAAATGAAGAATTTTGTAAATTTTTGTCGGGAACAATGTAATAGCAGATGTGTGAAGAACTTAGAAGAAAAGAGTGAGTGGGATTATAGAAACCCTAAAATGAGAGAAAAAATAGAGAGGGCCAGATTTGAAAATGCTACAATGACGAAAACCTCCTTTGGAATTTTTTCTAGAAACAAAGTCCTAAATGTAGTAATGAGTAAAACCCAGATGAAGAATTTTGTAAATTTTTGTTGGAAACAATGTAAAGGAAGATGTGTGAAGAAATCAGAAGAACAGAGTGGCCCATATTATAAAAACCCTAAAATGAGAGAAAAACAGAGAGGGCTTGATTTGAAAATGCTGCAATGAGCAAACCCAAATTGGGATTTTGTCTACAAACAAAGGGGACAAGTACTTAAATGTAACAATGAGTAAAACCCAGATGAAGAATTTTGTAAATTTGCCTCCTTAATCTCCATCTCTCTCTAAATCTCTCTCTCTAAATCTCTCTCTCTCTCTA